TATTTTATTTACAATTAGAACACAGAAACCACATCAAATATTTAGAAAATGAAAATGAAGCATTTTAAGAAAAATATGAGGTCACTTTGAATTTGATGGCAGCAGCATGTCTCAAAAAAGTTGGAGGAGGCCGTGTTTACCGCTGTGTGGCATCCCCTCTTCTTGTAGCAGCAGCCTATAAACATCTGGGAAGTGAGGAGAGCAGCTGCTGGAATTTTGGGAAATTCTCATCTGATATAGGATTCTAGCTGCTCAACAGTCCTGGATCTTCGTTGTCGTATTTTGTGTTTCATCATGTGCCAAGTATTTATAGCTGGTGAAAGGTGCAGGCCACTTCGGTAGTCAGAGAATCTTCTACTATGAAGCCATGCTGTTGGAATAGATGCAGTGTGCAGTTTAACAATGTTTTGCTGAAATTTGCAAGGCCTTCCCTGAAAAAGATGTTTTTTGTCCTAAAACCTGCATATATCTTTCACCACTGATGTGGCCTTTCCACGTGTGCAAGCTGCCAATTCACTAATGCACCACTACACCAAGAAAGGCAGTCTTTTGAACTGAGCCTCGCCCGGAGAAGACAGTGGTGTTGGTGGATCACGGTCACTTATGGCTCCTACTTTGCGTGATAGAGCTTTAACCTACATTTGCGGGTTCCTCGATGGACTGCGTTCACAGAGGTATTTCTGGACGTGTTCCTAAGTTTGTGCATTGATTTCCATCGCAAAATCTTTTCTGCTTTTAATCCAATATTAATTTTCAGCGGCGCTCCTTCAACTAAAAGATTTCTCCAGATTCAGAATCCGTTGATGCTCTTCTTATACCCAGTCCTGCTGCCATCCACTTCCAAATGGATGTGAATATTTTTCATGACGTGGTGAAATATCTCACTTTTAGTGAATGATTTCAGACACAAACACAGTCCACAGGTTTATGATAAAAAACATACTGGCTCATTACTGCCCCCCAGAGGAGTGGGCACACACAGAATGTGATAAATGATGAGAATTAGAGATAATAGCTCCGGTGTGTTTTCCCTTCAGTGACCATAACAGGCGATACTTTTGGAAGCAAATGTTAAAAAGCTGTGAAGATGAATCTTTAATACTTTAAATTTGGGCCTTTTAAACATGACAGTCTGTGGGAATTTCCACAGTTTTGGAGCTAGCCTCAAGTGGCCACAAGAGGATCTGTAATTTCTTTGGTACTTAATTTTAAACCCTGGAGGTTACCGCTAAAAAAGAGCCGCAAAAAATGAACTGAAACCAACTAGTTTTGGTCCAGTGCTTCTAAAACTCACTAAAAAGTTAATAAAACCACCGATTACACCGACTATAAAGCGAGTACATGAATACGTAGCTATCTGTGTCTCTGCAGGCGGTGCGGTTGCTGAAGAAAGGTGGTGTTTTGGTGTACAGCACCTGCACAGTGACTCTAGCAGAGAATGAGGAGCAGGTAGCTTGGGCCCTTGACACCTTCCCCTGCCTCTCACTTGTGCCACAGGTAAAGCACTTGAGCCACATGGACATGACTGCAAATGTAAAAATCACAAAGTGAAACCTTTTCTTTTGTTTTTCAGGAGCCCCACATCGGTGCTGAAGGCATGCCCGGAGCCGGCCTTCCACCTGAGCAGCTGCGCCTCCTCCAGAGGTTCAGTCCCGAGCTGAGCTGGGAGCAGACGGAAATTACAGCCCCGCTCCCCTGCAGAGCCGACAGCGACACTATCGGCTTCTTTATCGCTAAGTTCCTGAAAAACTAACCCGAGGGCTCGCGCTCTTGCACGGGGCTCATATGAGACAGCAAAACGGGAACAATAGTGTTTATATTACGACACTCTGTGTGCTTTGACGGGCCAGTGTTGACAAAGAGCTCCCTGCGCTGTTTACAGCATCTGCCTCTTAACAGCTGCTCTCTAAAACCGTGGGCCATATAGGGATAAGCTTTATAAACACCAGGGGAGGGTTGGATGGAAGAGGGTGGTGGTTGGGGGGCACGTGGCGACGGAGTCTGGATGAGTAACGGCAAATGCAGCAGCAGCAGCAGCGCTGCGGTTGCTATAACAACAGTGACGACACAGCTGCCATGGTGACGGATTCGCTGGAGAATGGATCAGGAAGTAGGTGTAGAAAGAGGCCATGAGAGGAATTAACAATTTAGTGTCTTTGCAGCGCCGGAGACGACTGGGACATTTAATTAGGACTTCTGGAGCCTGCAGGAAAGA